ACAGGGAAGAACTTCTTCCTAATATCTAATCTAAATCTCCCCTCTGTCAGTTTAAAGGGATGTAGTGATAGGACATTCCCCCATTCCCCCTTGTCCTATCCCTACATGGGCTTGGTAAGGAATCTAAACTTTTTTTTTAATCTTATGCTAAAAATTTCCAGGGCTATTAGCTCCAGAAGAGGCTTCTGTGGTGCCCTCTGCTTTGGATCTGCCTGGGAACACAAAGCAAATCATGGACCAGCCTTGGGTGATAAAATACAGAGGCCAGCAGTGGTACTGCTCCATGTCTTCAGGGGAACATGGTAGTTGATACACCAATTTGCACAAAAAAACCTTTGCCTTAGACTATAAATTTTTAAATTGTCTTGTACTGTATTTTTAATATGCAGTAAGATTTTGGTATTTTAAAGTGCGTGTAAAAAGTGAAGTGAGAGGCTGTGCAGTGTGGTACTGTGGTTAAGTTCTGAAGATCCAACCTGCCTCTGCCATCAGATTAGGTTTGTAAGTAGCTCATGATTGCTATAACTTCATTTTAATTACTGAGCATCTAGAACACTGGTAAGTAATCCTAAGACACCCTTAGAGCAAACGATTGTTTTTGTCCAGTTTTTGTTACACAGGAAAATCCAATCTGTCTAGTCATGCTGCAGTGAACTCATTGACTTTGGTAATACCAGGAATGAAAATAAAATCTGTGTAGAATAGAGAAGAAAACACAGCAAACTGTTAGGACTGAACAGGTGAGAAGTTCTATAACACAAAAATCAATGTAATCTTCAGCAAAGTAACTTCCCCCTCCCATGCAATGTCATTGCTTAAGGATAAGCGTCCATCAACAGTGTGCAAAATTAATTGAATATGCAGCTGATAAAAACCCCTATTTTTTAGGAAAAAAACACAAAAATTTACTGAAAAGGAAAGACTTTTCCTGAATTATAGTGAGCAAAGTAACAATTACATGTGGAAATTTGGAAAATAGAGAATTAAATACAAGATTGTATTTGTTTACAAGATTTAGGAGTTAATCACCTAAATATCTCAAACTCAAACCACTGTTATTAATTTAGGCTATTTGATTAACTTTATTCACAACAAGGAAGTTCCATCCTTGCTCCATCCCTGGCAGTTTTCAAGGCCAGGTTGGACAGGGACTTGGGTGACATGGGTTTAGTGTGAGTTGTCCCTGCCCATGGCAGGTGGGCTGAAACTAGACGATCTTAAGGTCCTTTCCAACCCTAACTATTCTATGATCTTCTATGATTCTATGATTCCAGCTTTTGGCTTTCTCCCCCTTCCTGTTCTTAGGAAGGGAATGCACATCCAAAGTTTTGTTTTTTTTCCCAGTTCTACACCCTGATCTAGTTGTAATTAGCTCTCCCCTTACCAGCCTTTCTGGTTGTAGCTGAGGATATGAGCACCTACTTTTCCCACATGCTTGCACCAACCCCTCCATGCTTGTTGACCAACGTCTGGCTTTGGACTCTGTAAAAAGTTACCAGAGACAGCAATAGCCTGGGAGAAATAGCCCAGGGGGCTTTGAGCAGGTTTAGCCACATGCCAGTCAGCCCCATCCAGGTCTACACAATGATTCTTCAGGGTGGCAGTCTGGAGCCTCCCTTCACCCAGCCCAGAAAAAGTATTTTCACTTCCAAAACGTGGATTGTTTCATCTGCTCACAGGCTGGGACTTATTAAGAAAGCAGGAAGACCAAGTCTCCTAAAAGAGGACTCTTCGTCTGTGGAAGAAGTAGTGGGCAGTGAGAAGTGCTAGGGAACTGTTAAAGATTTGATCACCACCGGCTGCAGCAGGCAAGGACTCTATCCTTCCGTAAGTACATCACAGTGCGTCACAACAGCCTTCTGATGACTCACTTCACTCTGCTGTGGTCAGAGTATCCAAACAGCAAATGGCCCTGGCATATGTAAACCCAAATTACAGAAGATATGTCTTCATTGATACAGTACCCAGCACTTCCCTGCTGACAGTAAATGACATGAGGTTCATTTCATATCAAGAGATATGGTAGGAAACTTAGCAAAAGGGAATGGCCACATACATATTAACATGATTTTATCCAGCCATCTCATTATTCTTAGACATGTTCCCATTTCAAGAAAGAGGAAAGGTTTATATCTGAAAAATACTGTATTGCCTACCAGTGATTTGATAAATTATGATTGCAGATAATGCCATAATACAATACTGAGGTTATATTAAAAACACTTTAAATGATTAAAAAAAAATAATTTAAAATTAATGGAGTTTTTGTTTCCCAGTTGATTGATCCTGGCTCATGTTCAGAATCAATACACCCTGGAACTAGTGCATGTATATACCTGCAGAATTTTGATGGGTGCTCTCTTCAATATGCCTGCAGCAATTTTTGTCTTCAGAACTACACAGTGAACATCTCCTAAACTGTCTCTCACCCCCAGTCCAGAGCAAGATGAGCAGGATTCATTGACAACACAGTGAATGTCTCAAATTTCTATATATATTAAAAAAAAAAAAAGCAAACCCCAACCAGATTTATTTTTTGCTCATACCTGAAGGAAGAAGCAATAGTTATAAATACAATAAAGCTACTGAACCACACCACAAAATCATTCTGCCAGGGTTATGTCCAAGATGCTGAAGGTTCTCACCCATATACATGCAAATGTGATATTAGATTTATCCTATGTAACAGTGTTTGTTAATGTTTTATGATTGCCACTTCTTACAATAAGATGATTAAAAGAACATTTTGACTTGGTAAAGATGGATAAAATAACCTAAATTTTTATTAAAGCCATATTTTTACTCAATTGGTTGGAGTTTTCCACTGGCTTATAAATAAAAGCATTAACAGTAAAAATTGAAACAACCACCAAAATGATCAGTTTACATTAAGATGATAATAAAAAGACAATAATAAAACCCTGCTTTTGTGAATTTACCATTGTTGCTTGCTTTTGGACAGCTACACTAGACTTTCATACTGTTAAAAGCTGTTCTATAAAATAAGGCACAGTAGACTCTCTGCTTGGTGCTGCGGTCACCAGGTTCATCTCTGCTTTTCAAAACACATGAGCACTAAATATCATTTTGTGCCCTTTTCATTCTTTCAATCACTTTGAATTCTTGTAATGTATCTTGGGTACAGAGAGGGAGCCACTTTGCTCTTCTCACATTTAAGTCAGGGCAGCTGACTGTTGGATGAGCTATTGCACAAGTACTTCAGATAAAAGTGATGCTGCAAAGGCAGCAGAACATCAGGCCTCTGTTTTTCAGATTACTCGTAATCATGTTTTTTACTGCTTTATGTGGGAAAAAGAAAAAAAAAAAAAAGAAAAACCCATTAAATCTCCTTCCTAGCTTACAGCTCTGATAGTCTACCAGTCACTTGCAAACTATCAGAGATGAGTGCACATCTAGTAATGCTAAGAGCTAAGGCTGAGCACTCCAAGGTTGAACTGCTGCCTAAACCTGGCCTGGACTGTTCCAAACCAGAACCTCTGTAACTGAACTTGAAATCTTGTAAGAACATATTCTGGGCAGATTCTAATTGTGCTTGCTATCTCTTAGCTGCAAGATAGGCATGAAAAAGCATAATTTTGGAACAGGGACAGCTGAACATTAGCACAAGCTTGCAGAACTTCCAGAGCTCTCTTGTACCAACTGATACAGTCAAACACAAAACACCTGTGATACGACCAGAGGGCCCTCAAAACCAGGCTTCATCTCCCGAGAGCTGTGCTTAGCAGGAGCTCAAACCTCACAGTGGCTGAGCCAGGGATGCTGCACAGTACATACTGGGATGCTGGGCAGCAAATGCCTGTCCAACAGCTGTAGTCAGAAAGGGCAGAGGAGTAATGTCCCTTCATACTGATAACACCACTAATGCTCACTATGGGATGAAGACAAGTGCTTGAAGATTCACAGAAACATAAAGATGCTCACTGGAAAGCATGTGCTTTAATTCTTCATTAGTGTCAAGGGTCTCTTCCTCTGAAGAAAGGGTTAATGGCTGTTGGTTTAATTAGTGCAACATGAATGAACAACATTTTTGTGAGCTTGAGGGTAAATTAAGACAACATTTAGTTCTGCTTCTTATTAGCTCTGCAAAGATTCCCCAAGGAGCCTAATTAGCTCTGTCACAGCAAACTTCTCTACATGAAGGAATGCATTTCTTTTCTATAGATTTCACCCTTGTAATATACCATATCAGCAAGTAACACACTCTCATCCTTTCCATACCAGTTGCCGGTTGTGTAGCACAGGGTCCTGATTGCCTACATTGCCCACCCTCCCCATAGTAGCTCCCCACATCCAGCACATGCATCTACATCAAGACTAATGTCCTTTGTGTACACTTTACTCTGAGCTCTTGCTGTAGTGGAGGGTCCCAAGAGCCTCAGTGGACACTGCCAGCCATGCTCCCTGCAGCACCCAGAGCTCATGCACGTCTGCAGGATTCCAGTCAAGAACCATCTCTTAAACCAAAACAAGTTCATAAGTTCCATTGCCAGAGTTACCAAAGCAAACAAGTTTGGCTTGCCAACAAAAACATCTTTTCCCCCAGGCAGTCTTAAAAGTAAAGTCTCTATAAAAAAAACAATACAACAGCACCTGAGAATGTCATCAACTCTACAGATATCAGACTATTTTTCATTTTGAAGAAAGGAATCAGCTGACTTCAAGTATTATTTTCAGATCGGAGCACTTTCCTCATGTAAAGTCATTGAAGTATGTAGCTTATCTCTTGGGCTTCTCTCAGGATTTAAGCAGGTTAAATTACTTCTCATATCAATATTTGCCACCCAGCAAATCCATCTAGACTCCTGCTTCCCAGCATGGAAAGCAAGCTGCCATTTCTGTTAAACCTGGCAGTGGCATTGAAGGATGTGCTAGCTCAGCCCTTCTCAGATGCAGGCTCACCTGTGTCCCTGCAGGAGCTGCACAGGAATGGCCACATCTGCCCTTTATAAGCAACTATCTCTCCCCCCAACATTCTTCCTTTTAGCAAAAAAAAAAGACAGCATTGCTTTGCTGTTCTACCTTGCTCTGTACAGAGATAACTAAGTGGAATTTGGGTACTGATATTTTTATAGGTTTTCCTATTCACAGGCAGCACTTAGTCCACCATGCATCAAGCCACTTTTCTAGCTCAAGCCTGGGGCTCCATTCCACCCCACTGCTTCGCTGCACTATCCTGGGTGCCTCACCTAGACTCCTGATTTGCTTTCGGCCTGATAATAAATACACATTACATTAACAATGCTCTTGAAAGTCAAATGTTATTAATTAATTGTAGCCTTCTTTGAGGGTAGAAGCTTTTCCCTGCCTGGGCTTAGACCTTATCCATGAAACGCTGCCTCTTTAGCTTCTTACAATGCATGTGGAAGGGCTGAAGGGGGCATGCAGGGGCAGATCACACACCAGCAGTGCCAGTGCTGAACATCATTTATGAGTATGATTTTCTTCTGAACATTAGCCAGCACTTTTCATAACCATTTGAGTGATTTTAAGCATCTTCTGCTAAGCTGCTTTTAGCCATCCATTCCCCAGACTATTTCCTTATTTTAAGAAAAGGGATTCAACTTTTTTCCATTTGTCCTTTTGATACTGAAGTTATCTTTTAAATAAATCGTTCCACATAAAAAGGTATATTTTGCATGCCTCATTCATGAGAAGTGACGTCTTGGTCATGACGACCTCTCATCATTCCTGGAATTTTCAGAGCAAATGGCAGCATCTCTCCCATATCACCAGCGGTTCTTTAAGCAACCACTATCATGCAGAAATTTTATAATGCAGATCTTTTCTTCCTGAGGGCAACAGCCATACATCTTGAAGGCATAATCGTAAGTAAAAAATTGTCTCTGTACATTAATTATCTTTAGAGATTTGCTCCAAAATGCAGGTAGTAATTTTTGTGTTTTAACATTTATAGTTCTGTGGAAAGCACATTACTATGCAGAAGGATCTCGATCCAGGCAGCTTATGTTCTCTAAATTTTAATGTAGAGCTTTCAGATCTTTTACTCTGAAGGGAAAGAAAAAAGGTTAAATACATACAGACTCTGAAATAAGTGTGCTTTACCTCACAAAATAACGTAAGTGAGCCATGCATGATTGAAGGGCGACCACCCTGACCTCCATGCTGGCTGCTGCTGGTCCCACCTGCAGCTCCCATCCCTCCACTGTGGTCTCAGCCCATAGTCCTCACCTCCTCAGCGAGAAGCCCAACCTCTGCTGCAGCCACCCCTTCTCCACATTTTCAGCCAAGGTATTAACAATTGACCCCAAAAGACACTGGTCATAACTCTCTGGATTTCATACTGCTGAGCCTAGAAGCTCTCCCAGTTCTCATCGCCATACAGCACCTACCCTGTGCACAGCCTCCCCAGGGAGGCTGTTGAAGACCAGAGCCCAAGGCTTTCCTAAAGGCTGGCTATATGACATCCATTGTTCTCCCTTTAGTTAACTGGCGAGCTTAAATTTTAAAAGAGAAGTTACTGAGATTATACAGTACAAAGATTTATTAATTACAAAATCTTAATTTTCATCCCCAATTACAGCAAATTTTCAGAGACATCTGCCATGCTGGATATTCAGTATTACAATGGCATATTTAGCTTCAGACCCAGAGGGTAGATCACATGAGAAATACATGGGAAGAGTCTTGTAATTTGACTTGTTCACAATTGCAATTTTAATGTATTTCACTTCTAGATATATTGTGTTTGAGATGTTTTCCGCCAAGTCTCAGGCAGCATTCCCTGGAGGAAGAAATTAAAAGATTAATTTATCTGGTGGTGCACGGCTACCAAGGAAATTAACTTCCTCTTGGGCTCATGAGGACACAAAGGATTAAGGGGTTGTGGTGTGTGGCACCAGGACACCATGTAGTGTGAAGGCCACAGGCAGGCTGAAGCTTGGGCTAGACAGTATTACAGAGATAACTGCTCCAAGCTGCTACAGCAGCAAATGTAATCTGTGACGGCAGCAAAAGCAGAGACAGCTGCATGCTGTGACTGCAGGAGAAGGATCCTCACACGGCAGACAACCATGGTGGGAGAGCAATCTCTTTTCTAGGGTGGAAGTAGAAAAAGCATTTGTCATTAGCTCAGAAGAGTATGAAAGCTCCCAGGAACCTGACACTTATGTTCTCTGAAGAGCCCCTGTCCTAGAGTGCTCTCCTAGCTCCTAGTCAGATTCCTCTGGAGTCTGATTAAACTCATCATTTACCACTAAAAATGTCATAAAAAGTTTATAACACAGATAATATTTAAAGATCACTGTAGAAAATTTCTAATAACTGATGCAATTCAGTGGAAGTATCCTAAACTGACACAATCAAAAAAAAAGGAAATAATAGAGCAAAGCAACACTCCAATGAGTCCACTAATTAGTTATCCACAGTTCCCAGGGTAAAAATTAAATCCATCTTATTGGTGCACATTCACATCTTATCTAGAGACATTCATATAGCAATAGCAGGTGTATGAATTGCTGCAGCTGTGCAGCAATTTGCATCTGAGATGGTGCAGACCAGTGGATGCTCCAGCTTAAGAAGCTTGGACATAGGAGGATTGAGCACCCACCCATCAAGTGAACCACCCTCACTGTGATGAATTAAATGGAAATATGTGCATGTCTGTGCTGTTACACAGACAGGATAAAGATGCAGTAGCAGATACTAATTCAGAGATCCAGGAGTGACAGAAGAGATGGCCTGGAAAGGTATGTGCAGAGAGCATCTTCCCCAGGGCCCATGGGAGCTTTGTTTGCTGTGGGTGCACCCTAAGAAACACATACTGAAGTGATGGTCAGGCTGTTGAAGGTGCTGCTATTTACTCTCCTGAGGGTCTTTAGGAGAAACAGATTGAGAACTGACACCCTTGTAACTAACTTTGGCTCATTCAGGTTTGACACCCCCCCCCACCCCACCCTTGGAAGTTCTACTTAGACTTTCAGTGTTTTTATCAGGTGATGGCTGTGTGCATGATGTTGCCTAATCTGATTCAAATTTCTCTAGAGTTTTGGCCTCCTAAAGTAATAAAGAATTACAAGGAAATAAAAGCAAAAAAGTTCTTTCTGGTTCTTGTTTTAGATGCACACCCAGATCATAACATGCCTCCTACTATGAGAAACAAGGAATAGCCTTCACAATCTTCTGGCAAAACTCAACAAATTCCTCCCCTCCAGCCCTCTCTCTGTCCGCCCCATGCTCAAGAAACACTACCTGTCTACACGTTGCTAGTCAACTTCAGAAGCAAAGTCAAGTCCCAAGAACGGTATTTTATATCTATTGTCTTTGCCGTTACTTTCCAAGTACAAAGTTACCTAGCTGATATTCAGCAAGTAATCAATGAGCTGGAGATTAAAAAGCTCTGACTGCCCACCTGAATACCCGTGGTATTTCATCTCATGCTTGTTTCACACACCCTGGACATGTTGGAGGCAAGTTACTCGGTGCCAAGGAAATCAGGCCTCTGGACTCAGGGGAAAAAACAGTAAACCTGTCAATCTCCCACATTTGCTCTGGAAATACAAAAGGGTAACAGCCTTCATCCCCTGTTGGCACTGCTTTGCTATTAGGGAAGCTTCATTGACTCAATCCAGGCAAGATGAAAATCTGAAAATTTTGCAATTGGAAATGTTTTCTGAAAAACATTTAAACAGACAAAAAAAAAACCCAAACAAAAACCACACACAACCCAAACCTGAGATCGCTTTCATTGCTTTCTGTATGTTAAGACAGGGAGTAAATTTTTCTAAAATGCCACTCCTTTCTTACAGAAGTGCTTTTTCAATCAGAGGAAAACCATGTTCATTTTGGGTTTAAAATATGCTTCAGTTCTTGTTTCTAACATGGTACCTAAAGCTTTTTCCTTAACTTGGAGTTACATAAATTGTTGCATCACCACTGATAAAGCCAGATGCTCACAGTTACTTGGGATAAAGTATCTTTTTAATAGCCTGCATCACTAACTACATCCATTTTAAATCTATAGAAGAGAGCTGTAATAATAATAAATTGTTCAAGAAAAAAAGGCAATTGATATAACTGCTTCCAAAGTAGTGAGGCAAAAGAAAATAGGTTTTCAGAGAAATGAATGAGTCACAGTACATCATCTACAGTATCAGAAAAACACTAGATTTAGTCATGGGTAGGTAACGCATAGTTATAAAGGAGCAAGTATAAAAAGATTACTTACCACTCACCTGAAGACTTTAACAGCCAGAAGGTATTGTCAGGATTATTCACTCTGCCTTACACAGCCCCAGGCACAGGCAAAGGCCCTCCTGGCTTTGCTTCCTTCCCAAACGGGAAAAGCTCTTTCAAAAAAACAGAGTTAAGGACACTACATCATCCCCCAAAACTGAACAAAACCCAATAACAAACATACCCCGTCAGCTTCAAGAGGGATGCTCCACCAGCTGAGCAGTCTTATTGCCGGAAGTGACGCAGGGGAACAGTGATCCATAGTTCCTTGGATTTGGTTAGCTGCAGAGGAACCCATTGAATGCTTTTATACCTTTATCTGCTTCTCTGAAGATCCATCTATTACCAAGTCATCATGTAAATACCTATAGACAAGAAACTTTAACCTATTTTGGTTAAAGGGCTTACAGAGTACATGTTTTTTTTATATGGCACATCACAAGTTCTTCCCCTGTTCTTGGTCCTCTGGCTACAGGCATTGTTCTAGTGATGGACATCTACAGCCCCTGTGCAGATAGCTATTAGTAGGCTAATACATACCTGCTCACATCTTCCCAAATCATACTGCCACACTTAATTTCTCAATCCTATTCAGATTGCAGTTGTGGAAAAAATCCATTTGTGAGAGATTCAAAGATGTCCACTTGAGCATGGGGATAACATCAAATTATCAATTTCTGCCACTGCCTTTCACCTTTCCACAGTCCATCCTGGGAATCACCTGGCTCCATCCTCTCCATAAGCTGCTTTAAGGAGCTGAAGGTGGTAGAAAGATCCTCCACTGCTGCTTTAGGCTGCAAAAACCCACTTCTCAGCCTCTCATCGCAACTTCCCCTTATCCATTTTCTGAGATTCTGATGGGGTTGGGAGGTGTGAGAAGGTCTGGAACATGACTGAATTTTCCCATTTCCTTTCAGAGAGATACTGCATTATAGCTTATCCCCAGACCTTCACCCAACCCCCTCCCATAGTAGGAAAAAAAGGCAAAGATTAGGATGGTCTACTATTAAAACATCTAAGACAGCTGCACAAATAGTTCAATAGGAATGTCCCAGATGAGCAGCCAGCATATTAACTCTATATCTGTGGACTGGGCTGTTGTAGATCAAAGATACTTATCAGCTGGTATTGTTCAGCAGCAGAGAGTCATTTGTCTTCAATATGAACACAATGCTCCTATTGCAGCACATCAGCTAGGGACCAGCTCACATATTGTGGCATTGATAAGCTGGTTTTGAGAGGGCAGAAGAGGTCTGAGTTTTAACTACAATTGAAAATCAGGTAAGGTAAGCAGGGGATATATTTCATAAGAACTGCCTGATAAAAGGAATTGTCTAAGGTTGTTTGGTTTTTTCCCATATGCAAAATATCAACTCCATCACTGTAGGGACATCAAACCCTGTATCTTGCATCCCCTGTGAAGATCAAGGATGAAGTCTGCAGTCCGATGCCTGTACCTTCATATGCACCAGTGCCTGGGTCAGTGTCAAAGCACTTCTTGAGGAAGAGAGAACCCACCAGCAAGATCACTTTAGCATTTATACAGGAGAGGCTGAGCACTGCTTAGTCTAGATGCATTTCACCTCTCGCCTGACAATATGACACCATGGAGGCAGGTCCCACTGATCTCCCAGGTACTGTGCGGTTATAGACCTTTCCTGAAGGACTTGCTTGAGGCAGTGCTTTTCCAGATCCTGTAGCTAGATATTGGAGTGGTGCCAGGAAGCAGTGAATAGTCCCCAAGAACAACTTTTTTTCCAGTGATCTTACCCAGGGAACTTCCAGCCTCAGAAATATAAATAGGAAGTGCCACT